CCTCGCCGCCCTTCTTGCTTCCCGTGTGCGTCCGACGCGTGCTCGTGCTGCCCCCTGGCGACTGATGGCGTCACACGCCGGGGCCGTCGAGGCTGTGCGCGGGGCCGCCTCCCTCGGACTGGACGCCGGCTCCGAGGAGGGGCCTGCGCAGCCCGAGCGGGGTCAGCTGCGGCTTTCCCGAGCGCCGGCAGCCCCCAGGAATGAGCTCGGGCACCACAAGCCGTGGGTTCCGGAAGGGCCGAACTGCCCAATCCCCAGGGTCTGAACGGAAGTGAGCGTCCTGAATCAACACTCGCAATATTCCCGAAAACACATACTGTGCTGGTGGAGGCCAAGGGTCAGCACTGCTGCGCCCTTCACCGGGGGAGGGGATCAGTGGCCGCCAGCCCCGCCAGCCCCGCCAGCTTCCCGCGCGTCGCGACGAGCCCTCGCCACACGCACTGTCCTCACATGCACCAGACAAGGCTTTGGTACTGAGACTGAAAACCTTGTGTACTCAAGAATCTTCACAGCTTCTATCGGACAGATTTTCTTTTTAGGAATGAAGGAAAATTCTCCCATTTTTGAGCCATTCTTTTGTCAATTCTACAAAATTGCATGTAACTTTATAAATATTTTTAAAAGATATAGTTTTGTAAATATTTAATATTCCGCTAATTTGATTTTGAACTGTAAATGTCAAGTATTCTGTTTTTGGGATTTTTATGTTTTATTATACTTTGTTAAAAAGGAAAAATTGTACATTTTTAGAATGTTTTTATGAGTAAATTTAATGTACTGAAAATAAAAATTTTAAAAAAGGTTCAGTGTTTGACTTTATTAGGTCTTTGTCTCATGGCACATGAAGCACACATTTTTTCAAATAAGACAGTCTCACTCTCCAAACTAGGGATCCAGCCCTTTCTGCCTTCTTACCAGATTTACAAAAGGGATTCCTGATCTTAAATCCATTTTTTTTTTTTGAGTCGAAGTCTCACTCTTGTCACCCCGGCTGGAGTGGCGTGGCACGCTCATGGCCACTGCAGCCTCGACCTGCTGCGCCCAGGCAATCCTTTCACCTTAGCCTTCCAAGTAGCTAAATCCATTCATTCATTTTCTATGACAGTTCCGGTTTTTTAAAAGTCCTTGCTAAGAACAAAGATGTAAATTCTTGACTTGGGGTTAAAGACATTCCAGCTCTAGGTTCCATGGAAATCGGGGCTGGCTTAAAAGGTCTCTGATACCTTGAGAACATGCCCTGCCCCGAAGCGAAGCCGTGCTCTCCCAGAGAGAGAGCAGGCCTGCCTTGGAGGGGGTGAGAGGATGACAGGCCCCTAGCCACCACTTCAGCCCTGTACAGGGTTGACTGTTGTAACCGTGGGTGCAGAGCCACGCTCATGTGACTCCTAACACCACAGCCTCGGCCCAGATGTGGAGTGTGTGCTTTGATGTCAGGTGACATGAGACACAGCACCCACTGGGGGCGCTGATGACAGGACAAAGGGGACACACACACTTCTGCTGAGCTGCTGGCTCGGGAAGCCGAGTTTTCCTTAACGCACTCCCTTGTGATTTTCAAGAGACATTTAAGAGCCTCCTGCAATGTGGGGCCTCCCCTGGGCTGCGTGACTATTGGGGCTGCACCTTCACCAGGTGCCAGCAGCTCCCTACTTGCACGCGAGGCTCCTCTCGGCCACACACCTGCACCCTGCCTTTTGCGCTGAGCCCCTCTGTGCCGGCTGCTTTAGTGCACAGGTTGCCAGTGTTTACTCCCACAAGCCCCCGGGGTCCCACACCTATCCTCGTACTTTGTGGCGTGTCTGAAAGTTCCCAAGAGAACTTTGTTTTGTAAAGGCCAGACTCAGCAGCAGGTCCTTGACCCAGGTGAGGAGGGCACCCCTGACAGGGCAGGGGTCCTCAGAGGTGGGTGGCCCTCCATGCAAGTGCTTCCTCAGCAGGACAAACCCAGCCTAGATGCTCCTTGTAGTCAGGAGGGGACGACCCGCTTGGCTCTGGAAGTGCAGATGGTATGTCTCAAATACTGATCCCATTAAACTGAGCTTAGATGACAGTTTTCATTGTGCCTTTATTCACCTTAGTTCATTAAAAATGTACTTGTTTTAAAGATCCTATAAATAAAGTGACTACCCACTAATGTGGGGTAGAGGTCACTCCCTCGGCGGGTTTTTTTTTAGAAAGCAGTCTTACAGGAATCATATGATCACACAGTAGTTACAAGAATGCCAGATATAATGACATATATCATCTCAAGACAGGCGAGTTAGAATTTACATAATGTAAAAGGATACATGTTACAGTCAGCTGGTGGGCATGCAGAGGGGAGAGGTGACAGAGCACAGTGACGATCAGCTGCGGGCCCGGATGCAGGATCGCACTGTCCCCTCCATTACAGAAAAGTTTCACTAACAGACACGGGTATTCCATACACATCTCAACACACGAGGGCAGGGGTGACTGGTTACACGGACAGTCTCAAGTGGTGTAGCTGACCTTTCTGTGATAGTCCCAAGAAAACAGTAAATAGTAAACCCCATGCAAGTAGTAGGAAGCCTTGGTCATTCGTCGTCTGTTGAGCTGAGGAGGCGTTTAACTCTTGACATTAACACTGTAAAGAGCTTATGTCTCCTTTTGCTGTTTTCTCCACAACTGACATGCACTTGGGAGAACTCTGATGACTGTCTGGCTTAACAGTGATAGCTACTCTTAAAAATGTGAGAACCTTGTAATAACATGATTTAGTTACACACTTAACATTAAACAATGGCTCATCTACAGGGGTGAAGCCAAAAGCCAGAAGGGAGTACATCTGAGTTTTAATGTTTCTCATTTCACTTCTCTGTGGTTTCTACCACTGCCCTAAAGAATGACGCTGGTACAACTCCTTGTTTATTTACCAACGCAGGCACTAGTTTGAGCTCTTACATCAGAGAAAACCCATAAGAGAAGAAATGTCATTCTTTTCCACTAGGGCCTTCAAATAAACTAGACCAAAATTATAAATCCTTCAAGGTTCCTCTTGAGTAAAGATGTTTGTGTGTGTGTGACTGTGGAGGACAGACCAAACTCTGGGACCCTGCACGAGTGTGGCCTTGCGGCCCAGGAGCCAGGAACCTAGAGCACAGCTCAGAACTGCCTCCTACACACCCCATCTACCCTGCATTTGTGCCAACTTCCATGGCAAATGATGTAGGGAGGTTGTGCTTGACACCTTATGCCTAAAGATCCTCTTAGGGAGATTTCTCTCATTGAGCAGAAACCCTTCCATAAAAAGGTGGAAGGTTCCGAGACCCTAAAGAGAAGACCCAGTGTCTCTCTGAATGCCTTTAAGTTACTGCTTGAATTGCAAGTTCCTACTGGCGGAAAAAGCATTAAAATAACTTGGGCTATTTTACTGGCAACTTAGAATGCAAAGTATTTTATTTTTAAATTTCTGAATTTTGAAAACAAGATAGCCTGGGTTAAATAATGGAGTTTCCAAAGCTGAATGTGCTCCGCTGGAGCTCACTTCTTCTGCTTGAAATGCAAAAACAACTTCCTAAAACTCCTAGGTGGAACACTACTGCTTTGACGACCTGCAATTAGATGAACGGATCCATCCCAGCTGGTAACACCCCTTTTTTCTCCCTGGCAAGGGCTTAAAAAATTCTAGACTTGATGCGTCTTTCTAATTGGCCACTGACAGTTTCATCCCAAAGGTCTCCTGGGAAGCATAGACCATGTACAGGAATCCGTCCTCGTCCTTCTCACTTTCGTACACCCCCGAGATGGGTGTGGAGACGCTCACCATGCTGTGCCCGTTCACCAACAGGAAGAAGGCCTGGTTCGCATTGAGCTGCAAACGCCTTCTATTGAGAGAAAATGGGAAGAAGTGGTGACACGTCAGTGTAAGTGAGGCACGTGCAGAAACATTACCCCCTGCATCAACAAGACACCGAGGGCTCACAGAGGCTGCTGCTGCTGCTGCATCAGGTCTGTCGCAGAGCCGGGACATTTGCTGTGATTACGTTCATTATCATTATCAACACCGGCAGGATCACGGCAAGACTCCGCTCACTGCACTCCTGAGGCGAGGCCAGGCCTAAATCGGCAGCATCTGGATAGCCGCTGAGTGTCTCATGTGAGAAACCCAGTTCTGAGTGGAATCCACAAGCCATGCTGAGATCCAGGCCCACCTGCTCGCCGCCACTGGGCATGTGTTCTGCGTCTCTTTTACTAACCTTGCCGTACAAAGCCTTTAGAGTTCTTGTTACGTTTCTTTCAAAGAAGAAACAGGCCGGGCGCAGTGGCTCAAGCCTATAGCCCAGCACTTTGGGAGGCTGAGTTCAGGCGTTCGAGACCAGCCCGGGCAGCTTGGTGACACCTTGTCTTTACAAAAAATCAAAAAATAAGCCAGGCATGGCAATGCATGCCTGTAGTTTCAGCTACTTGGACGGCTAAGGTGGAAGGATCGCCTGAGCCCAGCAGGGTGAGGCTGTGGTGGCCGTGAGCGTGCCACTTTACTCCGGTCTGGGCAAGGGTGAGACTGCAACTTAAAAAAAAACAAAGAAAGAAAGAACATCTATAGTAGACGTTATGGTGAAAGAATCAGAGTCAGAAGGACCTAAGGGTCCAGCAAGTCAGAAATAGAAAACCTCAGAAATGAAACAGTGTAGAGGGACGTGAAGCTAACAAAGACTTCAGTCAGAATATGAATGTGAAATTTAGCTGAAAAATTATGTTAAAAGATTGGAATCAGAACTAAAGATTTATCTTTAGGCCTGGTAAAGAATAAGAAGTTACTCGAAATGTAAAAGGTGATTATATACCTAATTATCTTGATGAGTTCACTCATGTTGACATGATCAGGTACAAGGAACTTGGTTTTATCCAGGACTGGAAGCTGCTTCTCTCCCTTGTATCGTTCTATTATCACCTAGAAAAGCCAGAAGTGATTTAAACATAGTCATCAACAATGAAAAACAGATAAAAGGCATCCTATTCTGTGACCAGCACATGCCAAAACATGGTTTAAGATAGCATGCTTTTCAGTTTCCCCAGAGCTCCCCTGGGAGAGGGGTCAATTCATAAGCCTGCACCTCCATTCCTCATGAGACACAGTCCACAAGAGAGGTGACGGCTGCGCCGGGCAGAGGGGGCCTCTGGGGAAAGACACTCGGCTGTACATCCTTTCATTTTGTTTTAATTTGGAACCATGCAAAACATACTGCCCAGCCAAAAAGAGACCCTATGCCTTACAGGAGCAGGGAGGCTAGGTACCGGCTTCAAGTGCAGCAATTCTGTGTCAACTCCAATACTACCATTTCCCGACATGGCAGAAGTTCTAATAAAAGCAAGTGCATGCCGGGGACGGTGGCTCAGGTCCATAATCTCAGCACTTTGGGAGGCTGAGGTGAGAGGATTGCCTGAGCTCACAGGTTCAAGACCAGCCCGGGCAACTTAGCGAAACCTCATCTCTACAATTAAAAAATTAGCCGGGCATGGTGGTGGGTGCCTGTAGTTCCAGTTACTTGGAAGTCTGAGGTGGAAGGACCACCTGAGCCCAACAGGTTAAGGCTGTGATGGCCGTGAGCATGCCGCTGCACTCTAGCCTGGACGACAAGAGTGAGATTCTGACTCAAAAAAAAAAAAAAAAGAAAGAAAGAAAGTGTCTTCTAATAAATGTGCTTAATTATGGCAACATGCTTGATGTTATTCCATACTGGAAATAGTCTGCTTGACATGAAAAAAATCATAAGCAATTATCTGACAAGCCAAACACAGAAAAGAAGCTGTGGTGGCTGTGAATGTGCCACTGCACTCCAGCCTGGGCGACAGAGTGAGACTCTGACTCAAAAAGAAAGAAGGTAGGAGCATAGAGGGAAAAGCACCCTTGGGAAGTCCAGACTGGAGGCCTGCGAGCTGCCCGTGGCGTCTCTGGCCATCACTATTCTCAACAAGTGAGAGGCTCATTCTCAAACTCGTTCAGGGGCCCTTTCTGAAAAGAACCTGAAACTACTAGCAGAAAAGATGGCACTCAGAGTATGCAAATTCCCATTTCAGAAGGAGGCTGTGGAGCAAATCCCAGCAGGCTTCTGGGTGGGCTGGCTGGCTGCTTCCAGCTGCCAGTGTGTGCTAGCAAGCAGAGGCAGCAGGGCACCCACACGTGAACCCACAAGTTAAAGCTAAGGAACTTCCACTTAGTCTAGGGGGACCTTCCCCAGGAACCTCAGCTCGGGCCAGGCATTAACTCCAAGCATGAGACAAACTGTGGAGTTCCCAGCCAGTCTAAAGAAACGACAGCATGACTTCTGCAGAACTGTGCAGCTGTGAAAGTGCTGAGCCAGCCCTCTCCTCCTCTCTGTGCACCTTTAAAGCCCCCACACAGCCAGCATGGCAGCTCCCCCCACCACAGGTCAGGACCCTCTCCTCTCCATGTGGTGTGAACTGGCCAGTCAGAAAGCCAGATGCAAAAGCTTCCACAGCGCTCAGGAGTGGAGTTTCTTTCCTAGTGCTCTGCAGAAAGGAGGAAGTAGTGTGAGCCAGTGTCACGTGAGCACCATCCACCCAGAATCATGCAGGTCTGCACAGTAACCACGAGGGGGGATTCTCTTCCATTTTACAGATGAGAATGCTGGAACTCCTCTCAGAATTGTAGTAACTTGTCCAAGACTACCTAGTAACCTTAAGCCCAGGTCTTGAGCCTAGCCTGTCTGAAACCATTTCTCTCTAGACTCAGTGTCTCAGAAGGCCTATTTAAGGTTCACCTCCATAGGGCTGGGGCAGAAAATGCTGATGGCAAAGCAATAGGCATCTGAGGCCCTATATGTGACAAGAAAGCAGTATCCTAATTCTCCATTTCCTGCAAAGAAGCCAAACGTGAGCAACTTCTATGGGACGTCACGGGTCAGCTAGCCCTAAACATGCCATCGTGTTTAAACCCTAAGAGCTACTGATTCTCCCACCCATGCCAGTAGTCGTCTTTGTTTGCATCTTTTTTTTTTTTTGAGTTGGAGTTTCACTCTGTCACCCAGGCTGGAGTACAGTGGCATGCTCATGGCCACTGCAGCCTTGACCTGCTGGGCTCAGGTGATCCTTCCACCTCAGCCTTCAAAGTAGCTGGAATTACAGGTGCACGCCACCATGTCCAGCTAATTTCTTGATTTATTGTAGGGACAGGGTCTCACCAAGTTGCCCAGGCTGTTCTCAAACCCCTGGGCTCATGCAGTCCTCTAGCCCCCGTCTCCCAAAGTGCATCCTTTCTTAAAAATAATAAAAATAGAGATGGGGTCTTGCTATGGTGCTCAAGTAGTCTCAAACTCCTGGGCTCAAGCAATCCTCCCACTTCGGCCTCCCAAAACACGGGATTAGAGGCGTGAGCCACTAGGCCTGGCCTGTTAGTATCCTTTAAAGGATTGTTTTAGCTGGGCGCAGAGGCTCACAATGGTAATCCCAACACTGTGTGGGAGACAGAGGCGAGAGGATTGCCTGAGCTCAGGGGTTCAAGACCAGCCTGAGCAACATGTTGAGACCTCGTCTCTACAGTAAATCAAAAATTAGCCGGGTGTGGTGGCGCATGCCTGTGGTTCCAGCTACTTGGAAGGCTGAGGTGGAAGGATTGCCTAAGCCTGGCAGGTAGAGGCTGGGGTGGCCATGAGTGTGCTCCTGTGCTCCAGCGTGGGCGATAAAGTGAAACTCTGACTCAAACAAACAAACAAAGGATTGTTGTATCAATTGCTTAAAAGACAGTTAATACTTCTTTTCCATAATAAAATACTAACAGTTCTAACCCCCATCTGTTTCTCCCCCCAAATAATTATCTCGTAAAGTATATAACATGAAGGCAGCAAACAGATTTAGGAAGAAAAAGAATGTGTATGATTAGATAACAAAACTGTCATTATGATCTCTTGGTTCTAAGCTGGGTGCAAGGAAGCGTGTGAGGGATCCCAGCCACCCGGAAGGCGGCAGCAGGAGGACTGCAGGAGCCCCGGAGTTTGAGATTGAGGTGGACGTACATTATCATCACACCAGGGAATAGTCACCACACTACAACCTGGACAACATAGTGAGACCCTGTCTCAAGAAAACAACAACTAAAAAATCTCAATTCTAGGTTATGAAATTGACACACGGGGTTTGATTGTGTGAGGATTATTAGAGAAATTCCTGTCAATGGCCAGGTGCAGTGGCTCACACCTGCAACCCCAGCACTTTAGGAAACCAAGGCAAGAGGACTGCTCGAGCCCAAGAGTTCGAGACCAGCCTAGGCAAAATAATGAGACCTTGTCTCTACAAAAAAATTTTAAAATTAGCTGGGCATGGTGTGCCATGCCTGTAGTCCCAGCTAGTCAGAAGGCTGAGGTGGGAGGATAACTTGAGCCCAGGAATTTGAAGCTGTGGCCTAGATGACAAAGTAAGAGTCCGACTCAAAAAAAAGAGGATATCAAGGGACATCCTCACAAAGAGCTCTCTTCTGCATACATTAATGGTGGAAAGAGCCGGGCTCGGTAGCTCAGCCTGTAATCCCGCGCCTTTGGGAGGCTGAGGTGAGTGGATTGCCCGAGCCCGCGGGTTCGAGACCCGCCTGGGCAGGCGAGACCTCATCTCTACAATAAAATTTAAAAAAAATTAGCCGGGCATGGTAGTACCCGTCTGTAATTCTGGCTACTCGGAAGGATCACTGGAGCCCAGCAGGTCGAGACTGCAGTGGTCGGGAGCAGCCACTGCACTCCAGTCTGGGCGACAGAGTGAGACTCCAACTCAAAAAAAAAAAAAAAAAAAAAAAAATGGTGGAAAGAGACGCCTGAGATGACCTACCGGGATTTTGGTTGGATGTTGTTCGCGGATAAGCCGGACATCTTCTACTCTTTGTTCTGCAATGAAAAGAAGAGACCAAAGGTTACCAAGGGCCAGGAAGCCACTGCTCATCATGTCCACTGGCTCCACATCAGAGCTTGGCCATCCTCAGCTATGGCACAGAAGAGCAGTGGAGACATCCTTCCTAGAACTCAGGGAAGCTAAGTGTCAACACTCATATCTGACAAAGGTTGGTATCCAAGACCAGTGGCAACACACAAGGACCCAAGAGGCAACAGCAGCATGATACAAGACCGGGACTGTGAACTTGCCAGGTTCAAGGCGTCAGGAAGCCAGGTTTGTAGCTGGATATCCAGTCTTTCCTCCAAGGATTCCTGCCATCCATAACAGTCACATCAATTTTTGTTAATTATCCACAGCTTTATAAACCACAAACTGTTCAATGCAATTTTCTCTGATCTCTTCCGGCCTTTTTCAATGATACAGTGCTTAAGAAAAAAGAAACTGCTCAAGAGAAAGGAATATGGGGGGAAAAATACCCTATTCAAGTTTTAAATAGTTTTCCTCTCCGTTTTGAGTCAGCAGTCTTAAGTGTTTATTAGCCGGGTGTGGTGTTGCATGCCTGTAGTTCCAGCTACTTGGAAAGCTGAGGTGGAAGGATTGCCTGAGCCTAGCAGGTTGAGGCTGTGGTGGCCATGAGCGTGCCACTGCACTCCAGCTGTATGCTTTTCTGAGAATATCTCTATTCTTCCCTTTAATATAGTCACTTGTTTATAATTTCAACAACTGTGCTAGGCTCTCTGAGCAATATGTGGAAAAAAGCCAAGGTCAGTTCCCAATAACCTGACAACATAGCTGTAAAGACATATGATTTAGATGGCACTATTTAAAGCCTTCAACCAAAAATGAACAAAATCACCTTGACTTACTATGGTAAGATTCATTCTCATGATATCTGCAAATAAATGACCAATGTCACGAACTTCCTGAGAAGGGGGCTCCAGAAAAAAAGCCATAACCTATGGAAATATGAATTTATTCTAATATCACTGCCAATCGCATTTGGATTTTTTAAAAAGTTTCAGTATAACTCCTTATGCAAACTATTAAAATAATTCCTGGCCGGGCACGGTGGCTCATGCCTATAATGCCAGCACTTTGGGAGGCTGAGGTGAGAGAACTGCCTGAGTCCAGGGTTCGAGACCAGCCTAGGCAACTTGGTGAGACCTCATCTCTACAATAAATCAGAAAATTAGCCAGGCATGGTGGCGTGTGCCTGTAGTTCCAGCTACTTGGAAGGCTGATGTGGAAGCAGGTCGAGGCTGCAGTGGTCATGAGTATGCCACTGCACTCCAGCCTGGGCTACAGAGTGAGACTTCAACTCGAAATAAATAAATAAATAAAATAACTCCTGTGTTAAAGTACACCCATATAGGTTTGATTTCTATTTTCCCATCCAACATCTTAAAATCAACTTCTAAGGTAAGTTACTAAATATAAACATCTTTGCTATGGATAAAGATTGCAAACTCATGGATTTCTACCAGTACATATTCCTACTGAATAAACATGAGATTAAAGATAAATTTAGCTACTATTAATAGTAAACTGCCAGGCCAGACATGGTGACTCAAGCCTATAATCCCAGCACTTTGGGAGTCCGAGGTGAGAAGATTGCCTGAGCCCAAGGTTCAAGACTAGCCAGGGCAACTCGGCGAGACCTCATCTCTACACTAAATCAAAAAATTAGCTGGACGTGGTGGCACGTGCCTGTAATTACAGCTACTTGGAAGACTGAGGTGGAAGGATCACCTAAGCCCAGCAGGTGAAGGCTGTGGTGGCCATGAGCACGCACTGCACTTCAGCCTGGGTGACAGAGTGAGATTGACTCAAAAAAGGGGAAGGCAATGATTATGGTTTACTAAAGGTAGGAGGAAAATTGAGGCATAGAGAAGAGAGGTGCCTTCCTTAAGTTGTCAAGAATGGCACCCAAGTCCCACGGGAGTATCTCCTTGGTGGACTGGCTGGTGGAGATGAGAATGCAGGTGGAGCCTGGAGTGACTGAGTGGGCTGAGTGTTTGCTGACGCCTCCCTCTTTTCTTAAGCAGCTTGCTGTTTGAGGCTAATGGAGTACTAGCAGCAGCACCATCAACAGCAGAGCCAGGCACAGGAGAATAAGTCTCTGACTCCCTGTTTTCCCAATGCCATAATGACCTGCTGACTATTTGTCTTCCTCAGCCGACCCCCGGCCCCTGCACTCAGGCAGTGACGGACCCAGCTCCAGGCCCCTCCGTGTTCCCTCAGGACTCAGGCTACACCGGAAGCTGAGGGATGGACATGGTCACTGCTCCAGAGCCAGTCAACACACCCTTCCTCAGATTCCTTTCTTTTGGTCTCTCAGAACCAGCAGAAGCCTCACAAATAGAGGGTGGGCATCTGGGGTATCTTATTGTTACTAACAGGACATTTGCAAAGTTGCTTTGCAATATCTGCTGGCACTTAAAGTGAAATTTTAGCTACACACATTTTCCAAAAATTTTTCTGAGAAATGAAAGCATAATAAATATTCCTCCCCAGTCTCTGAGTGACACGGCCTAAGGCCACCTGGGTTTACTGCCACCCATTGCAGTCTCCACCTACCTATGACAGTCAGAACTACTTATTCTAGGCCAACCAGAATCAAGGAACAGCCTAAGGCCTAAGTTTACCAGCCTTGATACAATTTCAGAATAGCATCTGAGAAACAGATCTGTTATGAGACAAGCTGGGGCAACCCAGAAGAAAAAAGAGTGAAAGTGTGGCATCTGAGAAGACCAGATCTGAAACCGTTTGCTTAGCTTTAACACTTGAAGTTGGTTAAGTTTTTCAAGACGATATGCAAGGATACATGAGGCCTCTCGACAATGATGGCTACCTACCTCCAGGAGGGATTCATGCCAGAAGGTGTGACTCTGCCACTGGATGGATGGTGATCCTCACCCAGGCCCCACCCAGTTTCTTTAGCTACAAAGGGAGGGGTTGTTTGGGTGACCCTAAGACCCCTTTTAACTCTCAGAGCTCCCTCCTGTCGAGGGTATTCACGGGGCTACCTTCAGGTTTAAATTAGCCTTGAACTCAGTCGCATGGAAAGTGCCACTCAAGCTCACAGGCGCTGGCCTCAGGCTCTCTCCAAAGACCAAGTCCCCGTGGGCACTGTATACACATCTCTGAACATGGTCAGTCCAGCAGTGACGATGACCAAAGTCAGAGCGAAGGCAACAGCGTCCAATGACATTTGACACTTTCTGCAAAATGGCTGTTACACAAAACTTGAGGGGGGTTCCAGTATCCACAGGATGCAGCCACAGTGGGGAATGGGAAGTTCTTGCTCCCCTCCAACCCCCCCATCCCTGGGGCCATTTGGGTTCCAAGCCAGTCCTTTGTCCCCACGCTCCATCTCCGACTTCCTACCAGACCTGCCTTCTCCTCCTCAGAAATTTTACACAAGAGCCCAAAAGTACTCTAAGCACAAGGCAAATAACTATAATTTCCGTTACGAGGAAAAGGCCTCTCTCCTACACAAAGTCCCCAGTTAATTTCCAAATGCGGTCAGTGTAGACAGAAGCCAGATGAAGCAGCAGGATTGCTCTCAGGACTCCGTGGGCCCTCAGGATTGTTGAGCATCCATGAAGATCGCCAAGGCGGAATCTCCCAAGTATGCAGACACATACTTGCATTTCTGGAGTTCCCACTTCCGTACACTTCGATTTGTGTGTTTTCCTCTTCCCCCCTTTGCTTTGACGCGGGTTGCCTGTCCCTGCTTAGTGGACACGCCGTGTGGGGGTGCCCGGTCCCCAGACGCTGAGCCCTGACCCCGCAAGTAACTTCCGACCCCGGCCCCTGCCTCCCGCCCCTCCCGGCGTCCCTGACGTCCATCGAGTCCACCTTGGTGGCTGCTTGGCTCCCGCACACGCGTGACAACCGGCGGCGTGTGTATTCCCGTCCCTGGGCCACCGCGAGCAAGTCTCTCGCAGAGCAGTCAGGCGGGGGTCGCGCCACCCGACCGCCCC